TCAAACAGAGTTTATATTAGTGTTTAATAATTATATTAAAAAGGTATTGTATATGTATATAATTATTAAAAAATATAAAATATTAATTAAAATTAGTAAAAATACAGAAAACATTAATTAAAAATAATTAAAATAATAAATTTAAATTTTTAGATAAGATGATGTGTAAAAAAAGTGTTGTGTATAGCACCCAAATGAAGCCATAGACTATCCCAAAATTATATGATCTACCTTCTAGAAATGTAGACTAATTGGAAAATATTACATTTGAATATTAGCCTTCAAATTGTTTTAGAGAAAGATAAATTCTTTAAAATTATATTATTTTAATTAACACATAGAAAAGAAGACAATGTTCATATTATTCTCCCTAAATAAAGAGGTCTAAAAGTGGGATTGAGATGCTTTTAGAAAAAAACAATGTTAGTTTTGTTATAATTAAATTGGTTTTAACTAGTAATATTTTGTATGTAATTTACGATTAACTTACATATTTGCAAGAATAAGAATCTTTTACACAAATTTTTAGTCAATCATTTCAAAATTAAAGGGTAAATATTGCAATTCAAAATATATTGAAGAATCCACTAGGGTTAGAATGAACCCAATGTAAGAATAAAATAGAAAATATATTTATCTTAAAGAATAAGTACTAGTACTATTGCTGAAATGGTAAAAATAGAAAAAAAAAAACCCAAAAAATGACATTATCAAAAGATATTGAAGAATATGCTGGGGTTAAAAAAAGCATTAGAGAACAAGCTTTCTATGCTGTGGGGAATCTCCCTATAGCTTATAATGTGCATAAAGCAAACCTACCATGGCTTTTTTAGGGTACCTAAGGTACCTGGTCCAAACAGGATTTGAGCATTCAGTGAGTTTGCCTAAAAACTTCAAAATTATGGTCCACAAATCAAATTAAGTCTAATTCTGACATTCCAAAAACTCCTTCAAAATAGTAATTATATATTCTTATTCTCCTGGTATCAGTTGGTTGCTGTACTGCTGAGTGTTGAAGGAGATCTGTTAGGTTGCTGTCTCTGTCATTTGACTCATTTCAATCAGAAAATTTTTCAAGCAGGTACGATTTTTCAAGAATGCGAAAGTGGTATGCATACATTGGTTTGATGATATATGGATGTTATTAGAATTCATTTCAAGATAACAATGTTGTGCGTATCAATAAAAAGGAAAAAAAGAGAGAGAGCAAAGCTTCCATGCAAGAACTAAAGAAAGCAAACATAACATTGAAGGACGACCAAAAAAAAAAAAAAAAAAAAAAATTCCTCAATTTAGACTGGTTATTTATTATGCTCTTCCATTCTTTCATATTTTTTAGGGATTTCTTTGGCATGGAGATTGTATCTGGAATTCTTGAAATTTTGAACTGCCTAGCGCCCCCATCATTCGCCTATTTAGATCGTCACAGGAAGTTCAAACAAGATGTGGATGATCTCAGAGAAAGAGTCAGAGATCTAAATACCAGAAAAGCAGACATAGAAACACAACTAAAAGCAGAGGATCTGTCAGAAAAGCTAGTCAGGAAACAAGTGAAGGACTGGCTTGAAGATGTACAGAGGGTCAATGATGGCATGGAAGAGATTGAAGAAAAGGTGCGGAAGGTTTCGTACTTTTTTCGTGCTCGCCTTGGGAAACTTGCTCGTGAAAAGATTGGAGAACTGGATAGAATTTCTCAAAAGGGAAGGTTCCCTGAAGGTCTGGTAATTGATAGACCTCAACCCATTGGGATGACTTTACCAACAGAGAATTTGGAGGGTGAGTATGATGTAAAGACAAAAATTTGGGGATACTTGAGGTGTTGTGAAGTTGGAATGATTGGAGTTTGTGGAATTGGTGGTGTTGGCAAAACCACAGTTATGAAACACATTCATAACGAATTGCTGAATAAGGCTAAAAACAACTTGCTCAATGAGGCTGAAAGGTTTGATAAGGTGATCTGGGTGACAGTATCACATCCACTCAATGTTGTAAAATTGCAAGGTGACATTGCTAGTAAAATAAACAAAAGTCTTCCAGATGGAGATGAATTGAGCCGGGCATCAAAATTGATGGACACTATGAAAACAATGAAATATGCATTGATCTTAGATGATGTGTGGGATAAGTTCACTCTTCAACGTGTTGGAATCCCGCAACCAACAACAGCAAACGGGTGCAAAATCGTTATCACTAGCAGATCTGTTGATGTGTGCAACTACTTGGGTTGTCAAATAGTTAAAGTTCCACCTCTTTCAAAACAGGAGTCTTTGAACTTGTTCTTAGATAAGGTGGGGCAAGACATTCTACAAATTGTTGATTTGAAAGAGATTTTAGAGCCTATAGTGGATGAATGTGCTGGTTTGCCATTGGCTATTGTGTTAATTGCAGGGAGCATGAGAGGAGTGAAAGATATTCATGAATGGAAGAATGCATTAAGGGAATTACGGAAATGTGTAGCTGGCACAGTTGAAGGTTCGGAAGATGAGATATTTCATCGTTTGAAGTTCAGTTACGATCATCTTCCAAATCCAAACATTCAAAATTGTTTCTTGTATTGCTCATTGTACCCTGAAGATTTTGAAATTAGCAGAATAGAGCTGATTGAACATTGGATTTGTGAGGGATTTATTGAAGAATTGGGGAGTAGACGAGATATGCATGATAAAGGGCACACTATGTTAAATAGGATTCAAAACAATTGTCTGTTAGATGAAGCCAATAATGAAGGATATGTTAAGATGCATGATGTTGTGAGGGATATGGCAGTGCGCATCTTGAGCAACGGTCCTCACAGGTTTATAGTAAAAGCTGGGGTGGGATTGTCACAGATGCCAAACGAGGGTGAATGGACTGAAGATCTAGAAAAGGTTTCCCTCATGAAAAACGAAATATCATATATTCCTGTAAATTTGTCCCCGAAGTGTTCAATGCTGTCAACCTTGATTTTGAAGGGGAATGGAGGATTGATACAAATTCCAAAGTGTTTTTTTGACAACATGGTCGGGCTCAAGTTTCTTGATCTTTCTTCCACCGGTATTGAGGCTCTACCTAATTCTGTGTGTAAATTGGAAAGCCTTACTACGTTGATCCTTCGTGAATGTCGCAATTTAGTATGTATGCCTTCCTTGGAAAAGCTCAAGATGCTGAAGAAGTTGGATCTCCATAGGGCAGGCCTTCATGAGGTCCCTGAAGGCATTGAAACGTTGGTAAATCTACAATATCTTGATTTATGTTGTCAACACTTGCTGGAGCTACCCAAAGGAATGATCAGTAACCTCTCTTGCCTGCAATATCTGTGTAGAGATGGGCTTTCAACTGAAGAAACAATAAGAGGAGATGAAGTAGCCGGATTGAAGATGCTGGAAACTTTTGAAGCTGGTTTTTATTACCTAAAAGACTTCAACAGTTATGTCATGTCAAAACATTTTGTAAGACTTGGTCATTACGTGCTCTCAGTGGGACCAAGCAATGGTATGCATTTTCAGAGATTTGACCATTTGAAAAGGATAGTTTTAAATGGATGCTTTATAGGAGATGCTGGTTTGGTGCTTCCGGATGACATTCAGAATTTAGTTATTTGTGGCTTCGATGTTGAGCAGTACAGTGATGTTTTGAAAATGGATAAAACAGCAGCATTGCGTGCACCAACATCCCCTGGCATCTTTTCCAATCTTAAACAGTTGCGTGTAATGAACTGTACAGTATATAATTTGTTGTCATGTAAACTGCTGCAGGGGTTCCAGTACTTGGAAGAAGTTTACGTCTTTGGATGTTGTATTGAGGAAATAGGATGGGAAGAAGAGGAAGGAAATCAAGCAAATACTGCGTTTACTCTTCCAAAATTTAGGAAATTATCTGTAGCCACTTCGGAAGTGAAGAAGTTGTTTCTATGTAAGCTGCTGCAGGGCCTCCAAAGCCTTCAAA